TAACGTTCGGTAGTGGGATTGGTCCTTTTGACTTGAGGTCGTCATAGTACCTTATATGATGACGATCATGCTTTGATAGTGTTGGATGTTGCTCTGCCAATGGCCGCTAATACGGCATCGCTCGGGTATGTCAAAAATCATATGAAGGTTGTGAATGACCAATAGAAGATTCGTCACTCTTAGATAGTAAGAGATTATGATCTGCATTTCATTCAATTAAGTCGATAATGAAATCTTTGACCTAAGTGTACTCATAAGTCGAAAAGAAATTTTCGACTTATATTGACTTAATAGTGGAGTAAAAGATATGATCGATAACTGAGATTGACATACTTTTATATCTTTTAATTGATCGGATCATATTGATGAAAGGATTATAGTTTCACAGTAAACGAACGAATTTGGTTTTGTTATACCACGTGACATTTCCCGTTACATGTATTGCCCTGACACATTGCTAGATGTCAATTTGAGACAGTGAGTGTGATTGGTGATAAATTAAAAGGGTGTTTTAATTTATCAATTTCGATTAGATCAAAATAATATTTCACATCGTTAGACATCGTGATCGAGAACATGATTGGTAGCACACAAAAGAGAATTGAAAGATTACAATTTGTCAATTAATTAATTTAATAATCATTGGATAAATTAATTAATTGGGTTGGTTATTTATAGGCCCGAATTAATTAATTGGATTAATAAATTCACGGACCGAATTTAATTAAATGGATTAATTAAATATTGGACCGGGTTAGGCAAGCCCGTTTGGACTTATATAAATAACTGATTAGGGTTTACAATTTAGTAGTGAATTCATTATTCTTGCTAGCACAAGAAGAAAGCCCTAATCCTGCAATCTTGTTCTCTCTGTGGATTACTGTTGAAGGTTGGACAATTGGACAGCTGTGGGTGACAGATCCAAGTCGTTGGATCGCAAGAAATGACAAAAGAGTTTGCAAATATGGTAAAAGGTGCATCTTTATTACAGTTTCTATCTAAACACAAAGATAATTCTTAGTGGGAATCAAAAATTGTTTTAATTTTCCGCTGCACATGTTAAGTAGATTTTCAACAGTGGTATCAGAGCCTACTTTGTGTTTGTTAGAGATTGTTTTGAACTTTTGGGCATAATCAAAAGTTGATTTTGTTCGTTTCGTTGTTTCTAGAAATTAAATCTATTTTCAAAATCTGTTTTGAATAGAATATTATTTTGTTTATACAAAAAAAATAATAATAATAAATAATTTTTTTTCTGGAAATGGTTCCGAAAACGCCACTGTGTGCTGCTGGCAATGGCAGACTACTCTGTCGCTGCACTATGCAGTGGCGTCTGCTGCCCTACAGCACAACAGCGTTTTCGCGCTGCTATGGCGATATGAAGCGGCCAGGAAAGGGCAGGGGCGGCGACCGTTGCCTGAAAATGAGAAGAAAGGAGGACATTTTCTTCTGGGGTTTTCTTCACTCAGGTGGGAGAATTGGAGACGGGGGGCTTCACGTGCAAAATAATATTTCACGTCGTTAGATATCGTGATCGAGAACCTGATAGGTCGCACACAAAAGAGATTTTGAAGATTGTAATTTGTCAATTAATTAATTTAACAATCATTGGATAAATTAATTAATTGGATTAATTAATTCACGGATCGAATTTAATTAAATGGATTAATTAAATATTGGACCGGGTCAGGCAAGCCCGTTGGACTTATATAAATAACTGATTATGGTTTATAATTTGGTAGTAAATTCATTCTTCTTGCTAGCACAAGAAGAAAGCCCTAATCATGCAATCTTGTTCTCTGTGTGGATCGTCGCTGGAGGCTGGACAACTGGACAGTTGTGAGTAACAGATCCAAGTCATTGGATCATAAGAAATGACAAAAGAGTTTGCAAAACTTGTAAAAGGTACATCATTATCACAGTTTCTATCTAAACACAAAGATGATTCTTGGCGAGAATCGAAAATTGTTTTAATTTTNCTTGTAAAAGGTACATCATTATCACAGTTTCTATCTAAACACAAAGATGATTCTTGGCGAGAATCGAAAATTGTTTTAATTTTCTGCTGTACATGTTAAGTAGATTCCCAATAGTGGTATAAGAGTCTACTTTGTGTTTGTTAGAGATTTTTTTGAATTTTTGGGTATAATCAAAAGTTGATTTTGTTCGTTTCATTGTTTTTAGAAATTAAATATATTTCAAAATCTGTTTTGAATAGAATATTATTTTGTTTATACAAAAAATTAAAAAAAATTCTGGAGATGGTTCAGACTGGCGGCGGGTAGCGGCGAACTACCGCCGCCAGCCTGTGGCGACTATGTGTTGCTGGCAGTGGCAGACTACTCTGCCGCTGCACTATGCAACGGCGTCTGCTGCCCTATAGCACGGTAGCGTTTTCGTGCTGTTGTGGCGGTATGAAGCTGCCGCTAATTTTAGCGGCGGCTTCTAGCCGGGAAAGGGTAGGGACGACTACCGTCACCTGAAAATGAGAAGAAAGGAGGACATTTTCTTCTAGGGTTTTCTGTACGCGGGTGGGAGAATTGGAGACGGGGGGCTTCACGTGCAATTTATGAAATTGCGGGCTCCTGCTTGCAATTAAACTCTGAGGGTCAACTGCAATTATTTTAATGAAAGGCCTGCCTGTAATTTTTGAAATTGAAGGGGCCAGTTCATAATTTTAAAATGGGTCAAATTGCAAATTTCAAAAGGTATTTTGAATTTAAGTATTAAAATGGTTTTAAAATGTTTTTAATCGGGTTTTGACCTATGTTATCAATTTGACCCAAATTAAAATTTTATTTAAAGTTGGCGAATTTTATATTTTTTAGTTAAAATTAGATTTTAACTTAAATAATAAATTTTGAACCTTAATTGAATTTTATTTTATTTAGGAGTTTTATCCTAAATTAAAATATTAATTCAATTTTAATTAGAGTTGGACTCTAATTTAATGATTAATTAAAATTTGATTTTATTTCATTATTCACCCGATTATATTCTTGAAGTTGGAATTGGATTCTAATTTGATATTTAATTAAAATTTGATATTAATTAAATTGTCTTACTGTAAAATTTTTCCTTAAATATTAGAGTTGGACTCTAATATATTGTTTAATTAAAATTTGATTTTAATTAAATAAGTTCGCCCTAAAATCTTGGAATAAGAGTTGGACTCTAATCTTGTTATTTAGTTAAAATTTGATTTTAATTAAATTCAACGGCCTTAAGTTTTGAAATTAGAGTTGGACTCTAATTTGATCTTTAAATGAAATTTGATTTTAACTAAATAATTCCGCCCTATAATTGTGGAATTAGAGTTGGACTCTAGTTCGATATTTAATTAAAATTTGATTTTAATTAAATATTCCCTCTAAAAGAGTTTAGACGGCCTTAATTGCTAGAAATTTAAAACATATTTGCATATAATATTAGATATTATATAGGCATACATTTATGTGATGAATATACATTAGTGGACGATTATGGATTCGACCTTGTGGATGTGTTGAATAGTTAATTTTATTCTTGTCGTTTTATGAGCCTGCAAGCTTTTATTCATTTTGGACCTGTGAGTCCGTTATTTTTATTGTTACTATGGTCTCGTGAGTCCAATTTTATTGAGGTCTACTTGCCAACTAGTATAGGATAGAGGTTGCAGATGGATTAATTGAAGAAACAGGAAGATGAGAATACCATGGAGATGGTGCATTAATACTGATCAATGCAATACCCTATAGGAATTGACCAACTAGTCTTCCCATGGCTCGAGAAGACTAGATAGTAAAATCCATAATCGTCCACACAATTACATATATGTTTATTTACATGGTAGATGTATAATAAAATATATATGATTGTTACGATGAGACTTATGAATGCAAATCCCCTCAATAAAATATTAAGTTAATTTGTTATTCGCCTTCCATCATTATAGTGAAAAATTAGAGTTCCAAATCGTCTCAACTTGTTAAGTACACTCAATGGTGGTCTATTAGGATATGTTTGACATTATGAAATATTAGATATTTCTGAATAATGGGTCCTACTTAACTAAAATTTATCTTTTGTTGAGTACACTCAGGGAGATAAATTTTAGAAGCGTGTTAAGCTAACACATAAGATGTGATGATAAAGAGTTGTCAACTTAATGATCTGGGAGTT